TTCAGTCACTTTCTTCTGTATCCCGCAAAATGTCTCACAGACTCTTTCATGAAGCATGAATCCCAAAGGATTATCTCATCTTTAGGCAGCTTCAGCAGTTATTTCTCTGTTGATACTGTATGTTCAGCTAAGCAGTCCAAGCAAGAGCAGTTTGTTGCCCAAATGGCAAACCAACTCCATGAGGAGCCTCTTTGATCCCTATTTTCCTCTTGAAGTAGCTTGGTGCTGCCAGGAGCAGATGTGTCTCATTGTCATGAAAAGTCCTAAATTTTTAAAACATTTAAATGCCATATTCTGAAGGTCTCTGAAAGATATGAGTAATACCTATGTAGCTGAAATATATCTCTATACATCTAGAAAACCTAAATAACATGACTACAAGCTTGACAATTATAGATGATTATCTATTAACTTATATTTCTTAATTATACGTTATATTTTTAAATGACCTACAAAGTCACAGTACCTTAATTAGAGCAGAAATACATATAACAAAATTGACCTTAAATATGTATCAATAAACCAAGATCCATACCAAAGCAAATTATTTATCTCTATAGCATATCTACCTTTAAATATAAACAAACATTTACAAACAATATTTGGGAATATGGGCACAGTTCCGTCCAAACCTTTTCCTGCTGTTTATTGGGTGAAGTAATTTTTTGAGGGGTGTATTTTTTTTTTTTTTTGGTTTTTCGAGACAGGGTTTCTCTGTGGTTTTGGAGCCTGTCCTGGAACTAGCTCTTGTAGACCAGGCTGGTATCGAACTCATGGAGATCCGCCTGCCTCTGCCTCCCAAGTGCTGGGATTAAAGGCGTGCGCCACCACTGCCCGGCTGAGGGGTATATTTTTGAAGGTGTTCAAGGCAACCTTTCAGGAGGTCTTGGTCCATAAAACCATTTTGGTCTGGAAGCAATGCACAGATTCTCATCTTCTGTGGAAACAAGAGAAGAACTTTTCCAAAGCAACATATCCTTAGCCCCAAATTTGAAAGTCATGATACCTTTATAATATCCATGCTGGTTTAGTGTAGCAGCCCATACAATGAAAAGCCTCTCTGTACTTAGCTCCTTCATAGTCAAAAAAATTAAAAGAAAACACAATAATACACATAATCCAGATTCTCTGTGAATTGTTCATTTTTATGTGGCTTATTTTTCTTTATTCCTTTTAATCTATGACTATCTGTATTCTTTCTCTTTAAAGATTTTACCCCTCTTTAAAAGCATTAACTTTCTCGGGAGGCAGAGGCAGGTGGATCTCTGTGAGTTCGAGGTCAGCCTGGTCTACAAGAGCTAGTGCCAGGACTGGCTCCAAAGCTACAGAGAAACCCTGTCTCGAAAAACCAAAAAATAAAAAATTAAAAAAAATAAAAGCATTAACTTTATTTTATGACTTTCTTTGTTCTTTTTCTTCTCTCTTCCAAGCCTATATACATTTATCCAACACTGTGACCCATTTAGAGTTCTTTTATGTCTGAATCTGTCCTTATTGCATTATCTGTAATTCTCTACTGTTGAATTAGGAGCGGCGGGGCTGCGTCCCCGGCACCCAGCCGCCCGCATGGCTAGCTTATGCCCCGAAATAATTACACGGAAACTGTATTCTTTCAAACACTGCCTGGCCCGGCTAGTTCCAGCTTCTTATTGGCTAGCTCTTACATATTGTTCTAACCCATTTCTAATATTCTGTGTAGCCCATGAGCTGGCTTACCAGGGAGGATCTTAACCTGCATCTGTCTGGAGTGGGAGCATCATGGAGACTCCTCACTAAGCTTCTTTCTCCCAGAATTCTCTTCTGTTTTCTCCACCCACCTAAGGGTGGGCCTATCAAGGGGCCTAGGCAGTTTCTTTATTAATAAGAAATCACTCCCACATCACTCTACTATCATGAAGAGCTTTTTAAATGGTAACCAGCTTGGTTGCAGTGGCTCTGGATGCTGGCTCCACCTCTCTCCACCTTTAAAATGGTGGAGCACCACTAGTGTTAGCTCTGGGGCTGCCAGGCAGGAGCCACATGCAGCATGAGTGTGCAGCACATAAACCTTTTTTATCTGAGTAACAGCCAAATCTGCCATGCAAGAGCACTGTGCAGCCTGGAAACATCTCTGTTTATGGCTGCAGGAATCTGCCCCGCTCTCCCACCTGTGCAAGCCTAGTAGACCTGATCCTGCTGCCTGCCCAAGTGGGGAACGCTGAGCAGTGGGCATAGTCTCTGCTACTTTCCTGATGACACCGAGTGGGCACACAAACACCATTGAAATGCCATTGAAATGCTTCATAGCCAGAGTTGGCACTGACGGCACAACCCAGGAAGCCGTGTTTTAAAACGGCTGTGGCTTTTTTCCTGCTATGGCTGGATCAGGAAATCTCTCTTAATGGAGCTGCGGCAAGCCACCAGCAAACAGCAAGAAGCTGTGTTAAACTCTGTATTTTTTTCTTTTTTGGACTAGAATTTCTCTTCAAGCTTTCTCAGGTTTTATGTGGATTTAGCTAGCACACATTGGAGCACCAATTTGTAGGAGGAGAGCCCGCTTGTTCATCCTGGCCACCCAGAACCAAAATAATCACACAGAAATTGTATTAATTAAAACATTGCTTGGCCCATTAGCTGTAGCTTCTTATTGGCTAACTCATATTAATTTACCCATTTTTATTAATGTGTATATTGCCACGTGGCAGTGGCTTACTGGCAAAGATTCTAACTGGTGTCTGTCTCAGGTGGAAGATCCATGGCTTCTCTCTCTACCTCTTCTTCCCAACACTTCCTTTAGTTGTCCCCGTCTAGCTCTGTTCCCCTACAGCTCTGCTATAGGCTCAAAGCAGTCCTTTATTAACCAATGAAAGCAACACATAGACAGGAGGACCTCCTTCACCAACGTTTTGGGTTTTTTTTTTTTTTGTAGGGTCTCATGGGGCTAGCCTCAAACTCACTATTTCCCAGGGTGGTCTTGAACTCCTGATCCTCCTGCTTCCACCACAGAGGGCTGTGATTGCTGGTACCATCATGCCTGGCTTGAGTTGATTTCTCAAATGTTGCACAAAGAAATGTTGTTCACCAAGCTCTGAGACTCAAACACAGCTGCATACTCACTATGGGCTAGGTGTCCCACCCGTGGCTTCAAAAGTTCCAAGAACTAAATCCTTCAGAACAGGGTGTGGCTGTACCCTGAGAGTCATCTGAATCTGCATTCAGTTTATCAGATAATTAAGCAACTGTCCTCCAGTTCCCCCAAATTGACAATCTTCTGATAAGACCAAGGCCACAGTCTTGGCCTTGATAGTCATCAAGCCTGTCTGTCTCTCCTGCTGGACTTTGCTTCCTCAGGACCTGCCATGAAGCTGGCTTAGAGCTGAAAAAACGTAGGAGGAAATAGATAGGAAAATGGGTGTTGAGAGACAGATGAGGGTCAGTGGGGAAGAAGGATGGAAGAGGAAGGCAAGTGGTGGGGAGGAAGGATGGACGGGTGGTGGGGCTGTGGGGCAGTAAGAGGAGTAGATGAGGGTGGGAGGGGCAGATAGGATGAGTGAGGGCAAGCCCGGTGGTGCAGCCTCTAATCTTGTAGAAGTGGGAGAGGCTGGCAGATGTCTGTGAAATTGAGAGTAGCCTGATCTAGAGAGTTGTAGGCCTCCTAACGCTATAGAATGAGATTCTGTCTTTGGGGAGAGGGGGGGGGGGGGAGGATGATGGGTAAATTCCACATCTGTGGATGGAGAACTTTGTTTTGCTGGAGTGATATGGGCTTCCTGGTTTAGGTTCGGCAACAGGCTCGCCTTCACAAGTCCCACTTCCACAAACTGGAACTTCTGAGCGGCAGAAACTGGAAATCCCGCCAGCCTTTTCCCGCATTTGTGCTCTGACACTGGGCTGTTAACATCTCTCCAGATGGTGTCTTGCTTCACGAAGACAACAGCACCGTTTTCTAGCAAGGAAAACGGGCTCAGGGAAGCTAAGTGAATGTCTAACATGACATGGCTTGTCTAGCAAAAGGACATCATTTAAACTAAAAAGTCTGCTCAGGCCATCAAGGCACCAGTGCCAGAGACTGAATGGCACAAGAGTCACAGGGGGGCAGTCAGCAGGGCCCTGTGTGTGTGTGTGTGTGTGTGTGTGTGTGTCCCAGACCTGCTGTGCTGTGTCACAAGGAGACCCCGGAAGGATCATTCCCTTTGTCAGCTGCGGTGTTCCTGCATTGTCCTGATTCCTTTGGAGAGCCTTTACAGGTAAACAATTCAAAATGTGATTCGGGTGTCAGCTTCTGGCTGTCACTGCAGGACGTTCCCTGGCTCTTCACAGGGGCAAAAGAACAGCACCACCCATGAGTAATAGTTAACCAGCCAGACACCCCACATATAAAAAAGCCCAGTCAGGGCTGCTCGGCTGTTTCCACAGGATGCACTGGGCAAAAATACTGGGGGCGGTTGTCGGGGCTGCTGCCCTCTTGGGGCTGGGGATCATTCTGGGCCACTTTGCTATCCCCAAAGCAACTGACCCTCCAGCCCCCAGCACTTCAGACTCCCAGGACTTGGACCTGGAGATCCTTAACCTTGTAATGGAACAACTTGATGCCAGCAGGATCCAAGAGAACCTTCGGTGAGCAGTGGGCCCACCCAAAACCCTGTTAGCTGGAAGCCTCCCCTGACATCCTCCCCCCTCCCCTGCTCACCCTGCAGAGAACTCTCCAAGGAGCCGCACGTGGCCTCCAGCCCTCGGGATGAGGCCCTGGTGCGCCTACTGCTGGAGCGCTGGCAGGATACAGCAACTGGCCTGGACTCCGCCAAGTCCTATGAGTATACCGTCCTGCTCTCCTTCCCCAACCGGGATCAGCCGAACGTCGTGGAAGTCGGTGAGGTCCTGTCCAGGAAAGCCGGGGTGGAGAGGGCTGCTGCTGGGCCCAGCTATAACCAGGCCTTCTCACACAGTGGGCCCTGATGGAACCGTCCTCCACGCCTTCCAACCCGGAGAGAAAAATCTGACCGGGGAGCAGCAGGGGCCCAATGTGTTGCAACCTTATGCTGCCTATGCACCGGCTGGCACCCCACAAGTGAGCCTGGAACCCCCTACCATATTCTAGCTCTCCTTGGTTCCCCCTCTTCCCACTCTGAAGCTGAGGCATCTGAGAAGCGCTTTAAGCGGAGCCCAAACCCCTTCACTGACCTCACACCTGCTGGGCTACTCCTACCCCCCATCTGTCAGTCAGTCGTTCAGTAAACGCTGGTTAGTGGTCCCTGCTCAAAGCTTTGAACAGGTCACCTAGATAGAGAAGGCAGCCATCTTTGGGGTACATAAGAGGAGTGGGGAGAACAAACTTTCTTGCTATTGCTACTCAATCTTTGTCTCCCTGTGTACCCGACTTTGGCCAAGCTGGCCTTCCAGATCTCTTCTCTTGGGATTAGGGCCTCCTCGTCTATGCCAACCGAGGCTCTGAAGAGGACTTCAAGGAGCTAGAGACTAAGGGAATCAAGCTCGAAGGCACCATCGCCCTGACTCGCTATGGGGGCGTGGGGCGTGGCGCCAAGGTAAGTAGCATTCGCCATGCAGATGCCCGGGTGGAGAAGGGCCAGGGGCAGACAGAGCACCCAGGGGAAAAGGGCAGAGAGGAAGCAGTGCTGGGAGAGGAAAGAGGCTGAGCTGGGAGCATATGTGGACTGGTGTCCCTGAACACCCGGGCTGTGCTGCCTGGCACCCCAAGGGCCAACAGGGTCACTCTGTGTAGCCCTGGCTGTCCTGGAACTCGCTCTGTAGACCAGGCTGGGCTGGAACTCAGAGATCCACCTGCCTCTGCCTCCCAAGTGCTGGAATGAAATGTGTACCACCACTGCCCAGCTAATTAGCAAATTTTAAAAGAAAGGTCAAAAAATATTTTAAAAACCTTTTTTTTAATTAATTAATTTATTTATTTATTATGCATACAATATTTTGTCTGTGTGTATGCCTGAAGGCCAGAAGAGAGCACCAGACCCCATTACAGATGGTTGTGAGCCACCATGTGGTTGCTGGGAATTGAACTCAGGACCTTTGGAAGAGCAGGCAATGCTCTTAACCTCTGAGCCATCTCTCCAGCCCCTTTAAAAAACCTTTTTAAAACACTTGTTTATTGAAAAGAATGTCCTGTGTGTGGGAACTTGCAGCAGTCAGTTCTCTCCAACACACTATGTTTACCCCAGGTCTTGAACTCAGGTCATCAGGCTTGGCGGCAAGCACCTTTTGCATGCTGTGCCTTCTTACCAGCCCAGGAATTGAATCTTTATGTTGTGTTTTATTCAGAGACCTGGTGACCTGCAAAAGCAGCAGACAGACATCTTAAAAACTGGCATTTCCTCTCCAGCCAGAAGGGAGGAGAGACAAAGGCTGGCCGGCATTCTGGAGCAGGGTCAGGCCGCCCTGCTCAGGGCCAGCCACACCTCCAGGCTTGCAATGTTCGCGGCTCTCTCCTTTTCATCTATTACGCTGTCTGCTCCTTCTCTGGGTGCTGAGCTCAGGCCCTGAGTCTAGTCAGTGTCTGCTGATACCAACTGTGTACTCTTGGGCCTGGGGGCGGGGCTAACTAGACAAAAAACGGACCACTAACAACACATCCTAAGGCTCCTTTCTGCAGCACAGAGGATCCAGTTGTCTTGTCAAATTGGGGAGCTCTAGGTTTCAGGGAGAGAGGCTGTCTCAAAAGATGAGGTGAAAGTGGAACACGCCTGAACTCCCTGAGGAGGGAGGCAGAGGTAGAAAGACCTCTGAGAGTTCCAGTCCAGAAAAACAAACAAACAAACCCGGTGTGGTGGTAAGGACTTTAGTAAGGACTAAAGCACCTTGGGGAGGAAAGGATTTTTTTCTTTTTCTGGTGGCAGAGGCTGGCCTTGAACCCTGAGCTTCTGCCCCCGCAGTCTCCACCTACCACAGGCAGGTCTCACAGGTGTGGCGCAGCAGGCCTGGTTTATAGCGGCTATCCACCACGTTATCTCACTGTTAGTCTCCTTTTTGTTTGTTTGCTTGTTTGTCTTTTTCGTTGTTTTGGAGTCTTACTACGTAGCCAAACCTAGTTTCAAACTCACTGTGTATCTCAGGTTAATCTTGAACTCCCAATCCTCCTGCCTCAGCTTCCCAAGTTCTGGGCTTGCAAATGTGCACCACCATGCTCGCTTCGACGCTCACCTCTTTTTTAATGATGTGTGCGAAGATTGAGGAAAGGCCTTGTGCTACAGCACAGGCTAGCCTAGAACTCACTATGTAGCCCAGGCTTACCTCCAACTCAAGGTGATCCTCCTGCTTCAGCCTTCTGAGTGCTAGGGTTACAGCCTGGTTTGGCTGTCACCGTTTTAAAGTCTATGGTGTGTTCAGAACATTGGCAATATGCACCATCATTGCTGTCCAGGTTTAGCGCCTTAGCATTATTTTTTTTAAAATATTTATTTATTATGTATACAGCATTCCTTCCATGTATGTCTGCAGGCCAGAAGAGGGCACCAGACCCCATTACAGATGGTTGTGAACCACCATATGGTTGCTAGGAATTGAACTCAGGACCTTTGGAAGAACAGTCAGTGCTCTTAACCTCTGAGCCACCTCTCCAGCCCCCAGCGCCTTAGCATTATTGCAACCAACATTCAAGGGGCTGTAGAGCTGACTTGGCTACTAAAAGTCATACTGCTCTTGCAGAGGGCCTGAGTTCAGTTCCCAGATCCCAGTCAGGTGGCTCACAACTATCTGAAACTCCAGCTCCAGGGGGATCAGGCACCTCTGGCCTCCTCAGGTACGGGCACTCGTGCAATACAGACACACACTCGCACACACACACACACACACACACAATTTAAACAAAGAATAAATCTTTCCTCTTATTTTGTGGGGAGGGGGTAGGGTTTTTCTGTGTAACAGCCCTGGCTGTCCTGGAACCAGATTTGTAGACAGTCTAGCCTCAAACTCACAGAGATCTGAGTGCTGGGATTAAAGGCATGTGCCTTCACACCTGTTTTGTTTTTGTTTATTGAAACTGAACTTCCATTTAACAATGTCTTCTCCCGCTGCTCCTTAGGTCTCTGGTAGCCTCAACTCCAAGTTCTTTTCTGGTTTTAATTGATGTGCATGAGTGTTTTGCCCCCTCCCCCCCATATAAATGCAGAGAGGGCATCAGATCCCCTGAAACTGGAATTCTAGATGTTTATAAACCACCATGTATGTGCTGGAAACTGAACCCAGGTCCTCTGGAAGAGTAGTCAGTGGTCTTTTTGTTTGATTGATTTTTGCTGTTTTTTGCTGTTCTGTGTAGCCTTGGCTGTCCTGGAACTTGCTTTGTTGTTTAGCAGGCTGGCCTTGAACTCAAGGAGATCCACCTGCCTCAGTCTCCTGGGATTAAAGGTCTGTGCCTCCTTTACCTGGCGCAGCTAGCACTCTCTCTAGCCCTGCCAACTTCTTTATTTTTTTTTTTTAATGAAAAAGGATTTCAGACGTTTCTTTGTTTTTGTGTCTCTGTGCCTGTATGTTTATGTTGTGTGGGTGCCTTCTGTGGCTAGAAGAGGGCACCTGATCCCATTGTGATGGAGTTACAAGTGGCGGTGGTGTTGACACATGCCTTTAATCCGGGCCTGGGGAGCAGAGGCAGGAGGAAGGAACTCTGAGTTTAAGGCCAGCCTGGTCAACAGAGGAGTTCTGGGATAGCCAGGGCTACACGGAGAAACCTTGTCTTCAAAAGACAAAATCAAGCCGGGCGATGGTGGCGCACGCCTTTAATCCCAGCACTCGGGAGGCAGAGGCAGGCGGATCTCTGTGAGTTCAAGACCAGCCTGGTCTACAGAGCTAGTTCCAGGACAGGCTCCAAAGCTACAGAGAAACCCTGTCTCGAAAAACCAAAAANATAAATAAACACACACAAACAAATTTTTAAAAATTAAAAATCGTACATTTATCTTTTTCTTTTCTTTTTTTCTAAAAAGATTTATTTATTTATTATGTATACAACATTCTGCCTCGATATATGCCCGCACGCCAGAGCAGGGCACCAGATCTCAGTACAGATGGTTGTGAGCCACCATGTGGTTGCTGGGAATTGAACTCAGGACCTCTGGAAGAGTAGCCAGTGCTCTTAACCTCTGAGCCATCTCTCCAGCCCCCCCCCCTTTTTTTTTTTTGAGGCAGGGTTTCTCTACATAGCCCTGACTGTCCTGGAACTCTGTGTGGACATGGCTGACCTTGAACTCACGAGATTTGCCTATCTCAGCCTCCTGGGTACTGTAAAGGCACCAGACTTACAATATGTGGCCTTTTGTATCAGACTGAGTTATTTCACCTAGCCTACCAGTTTCAAGGTTCCAAATAACAGGCACAGTTGGACTGGGATGCCCTTCAGTTGGTACAATTGGTTGCTGACATGTACAAGGCCCTACATCGGGTTCCCAGCAGTCCAGAGAACTGAATGCTGTAGCCTATAATATCAGCACTGGAGGGATGGGGGTGAAGGCAGGACCAGAAGTTCGAGTCATCCTTGGATAGAGTTTGAGGTCAGCATGGGTTGCATAAGACCTTGTCTCCAGGCCTATACCACCTTATCCTCATGTGAACGCTGATGGACACTCTCCTTGGCTCACATTTTAGATGTGGAGAATGCTGCTGCTTATGAAGGGTACACACTTTTTTTCTTTTTTTCTGCTTGAAACGGAGTTGCACTCTGTGGTCCAGGCAAGCCTCAACTGCACAACATCCTGTTTATGCTTCTGGAGTGTGGGGATTACAGGCATTTGCCACCACAAAAAATGACTTACATCTCATTCTTTCTTTTCTTTTTTCGTTTTTTGATACAGGGTTTCTCTGTGTAACAGCCCTAGCTGTCCTGGAATGAGCTCTTGTAGACCAGGCTGTCCTTAAACTCACAGAGATCATCTGCCTCTGCCTCCTGAGTGCTGGGATTAAAGGCGTGCGCTACCACCGCCTGGCTACATCTCATTCCTTTATAGTATTCCATCCAAGGATTGCTCCCATTTTCTCAGCCAGACTTCGCCAGTAGCCCAAGTAGTTCTACCATAAATGTCTTGGGCCAGCATTTTCTTGCTCATGGGAAGGCAAAGCAATTCTGATTTCCATGTAGAGAATCGAGGAGGCGAGGAGGCGGCATAGGGCATGCCTGTCCCCATCTGTCACTTACACACAGTCTCCTCTGCTTTCTGCAGGCCATTAATGCTGCCAAACACGGAGTGGTTGGAGTGCTGGTATACACAGACCCTGGGGACATCAATGATGGGAAGACCTTGCCCAGCGAAACCTTCCCCAACTCCTGGGGACTGCCTCCCTCAGGTGTGGAGCGAGGCTCCTACTATGAGTATTTTGGGGACCCTCTGACTCCCTACCTTCCAGCTCACCCCTCTTCTTTCCGCCTGGATATTAACAACATCTCGGGAATTCCCCCAATTCCTGCCCAGCCCATTGGCTTTGAGGATGCAAGAGACCTGCTCTGGTGAGCCTGTGCCCAGTCCTCTGCCCTTCCCCAGACACCTGCAGATGCCAAACTTACCCTCATGGCACTCTCTCCTCCCCAGCAACCTCACTGGACCCCCTGCCAGTGCCTCCTGGAAGGGAGCCCTGGGCTGTGACTACAATCTGGGGCCTGGCTTCAAGCAGGATGGGAGCTTCCCAGCAGGCAGGTAAGGCGGAGTTTCCTTCTTCCCTTCAGTACCCCCAATTCCCTTCTTCCCTGACTTTCTTTCCTCCCTCTCCATGACCATCTCCCAGCTCTCTCCAGAACAGCTTGGCCTTTGGGGGAAGCTCACTGAAAGAACTGTGGCCCCCAAGCCCCATGGGTTCTCCCTGCCCCTCCCACCACTGCCCCCTTTGAACCAGGACTGGCCAGTACACTGCTGGCCAACGTCCCCATCTGAGCATTCCTGCCACCAGGTGTCTGTCCCCTCTTCCCAAGCCAAGGAGACTTCCAACCAAAAGAGGGACAGCTTTACTTACTGCTTTTCTGGGTCCCTACTGGGCTAGTGACTGGTGGTGTCTGTCACCTTTCTCTTGGCCTCACTTTCTCCTAAATTTGATAGGGGGACAGGAGAGTGCTTAAATTCTAATCATATCCTTTATCCTACCCCTAGCGAGGTGAAAGTGAGAGTTCACAACAGCCGGGAGCTGAGAAACTCCTCCAACGTGCTGGGCATCATCCAGGGGGCAGTGGAGCCTGGTGAGCCTGTTAGCACCAAGCCCTGCCACTCCCCTGCGGCTTGCCCTGGTTGCAGCCCACCTTGGTCTGCCTGCCCTCTGCTGTCCCTTTTCTGCCCCTCCGACTCTGGTCCTCCCTTCAGATCGTTATGTGATCTATGGAAACCATCGGGACAGCTGGGTACACGGAGCCGTGGACCCCAGCACCGGTACCGCCGTCCTCCTGGAGATCTCCCGAGTCCTGGGGACCTTGCTAAAGAAGGGTGAGGCTATCCTTTCTCCTGGTAACTCCTCCAGAAACCCCAGAGTCATTTCCAGCCCACGTCTGCTTCCTCCCAACTCCAGGGCTCACCTGAGCCAGGCCATGAGCCCTGGGGCATAATTACCTGGCCTTGGGAGCCTCAGGGCTCAAGGAACAGAATACTGATGTGGTAGCAGTCTTCAGGAGCCTCCTAGTAGAGCCAGGCCCCCCAGGCTGTAAACATGGTCCGTCTATGCTCTGCCCATGGAGGTGTCATGCCTTTTAAGGAAAGTCTAACTGTCCTGGTGACATTCCAGCACCAGCATCCCTCAGGAAGGGAGAAAGCTGAGCAGCCAGGGACTGTGGCTATCAGAGGAAAGGGCAGGAAGGAGGTTGAGGGTGTCTGTGTCCAGGTTGGAAAAGGCACTTGTGACATGAACTGGGGAGTTGTTAGCACTGCCGAGACCAGCTGAGGCCAGGTGGTGAGCTGGAGACAGGTAGATTCAGGGAGCTCTGTGGCCAGCCAGTCTAGCCTGCTTGATGAGTTCCCTGCCATGGAGACCTCATCTCAAAAAACCAAGGGGTTACTTCGGCATAGCTAATCTTTTCTTTATGCACTGATTATAATTTAATATCTCAAAGTAGCAGAATCTAAATAATGGATTCACCTGCAGATTGTCAGGGAACATTAATACATAGTATGGAGATATGTGCTTTCTGAAAATGAGAAAACAATCAACACCCCTAACGTCTGGACTGCACACACATCCACTGGCACCCACAGAACCTCGGGGGTCTGACCCAGGACCACACTGTGCCTGTCTCACTGGGGTCCTTCCGTTTCTAGCAGCCCCTTAGCTGCTCTTGTCTGGGCTAGCCTGATTACAGTCAGGTTCTACATCTCTGGCAAGGAAAAGTGTGGGGATTTGTAGCCGCAAACATGTAATCATAGTGTATATAACCATTTTTTTCCCTTAAGCCAAAAGCTGAGTGTTAGGTATGGCGGCCTATGTCTGTAAGTTCAGATCTCTTTTTTAAAAAAATATTTTTATGGTTTATTTAACTTTATTTTATGTGCATTGGTGTAAAGTGTCAGATTCCCTGGAACTGATCTTCAAACAGTTGTGAGCTGCCATGTGGGTACTGGGAATTGAACCCAGATCCTCTGGAAGAGCAGTCAGTGCTCTTAATCACTGAGCCATCTCTCCAGCCCCCAAGCTCAGATCTCTCTCTCTCTCTCTTTTTTTTTTTTTTTTTCTTTTTCAAGACAGGGTTTCTCTGTGGTTTTGGAGCCTGTCCTGGAACTAGTCTTGTAGACCAGGCTGGTCTCAAACTCACAGAGATCCGCCTGCCTCTGCCTCCCAAGTGCTGGGATTAAAGGCGTGCACCACCACCGCCCAGCCAAGCTCAGATCTCTTAAGACCTAGGCAGGAATGCCGGGAGCTCCAGGCCAGCCTGGTCTACAGAGTGGGTTTCAGACCATCCAGGGCCACAGCGTGAGACCCTATCTCAAAAGGAAATAAGTAAATGAATAAATAAGGGTTGGGGTTGCAGGTCAGTTGTGAAACTGCTTGCCTAGCATCCAAGAGGCCCTGGATTTGATTCCAGTGGAGGCAGGAGGATTAGAAGTTCAAGGTCAATCTCAGGTACACAGTGGTCTTAACACTGGGGAGGTGGAGGCAGGGGGATGGTGAGTTTAAGACCAACTTGTGCTCCGTGAGTAGTTCTAGGCCCACCTGAACTATATAGCATGACCCCGTTTCAGAAAATAACAAAGTAAGACTCAAACAATAATGATCAAATAATCCAATTGCAGCCAGAGGTGATAACAAAACAGGGAGCACGCGGAGCTGAGGGAATACGGAGTCCATGAGGGGCAAGCATGGAGTCTCTGGGTGGCTGGGGACTGTGGGAGGCAGGGTGGGGCACTGGATAAACCACAGGGCTCTAGAGCCAGCTGTCTGGATTTGAACGTGGCTCTGCTGTTTACAGGCTATGACCTTGGGCAGTATGTTGAGAGGGGGAGGCTAGAAGGGACTGTCTCCTGGAAGGGTGAGAGAAGGGTGCACACCTTTTCTAGCTCCTCCCTTCCTTCCATGTCCCCAGCTACTCCCTGACCTTTGACTCCTCATGGCCTCTTCTCTCCAGGCACCTGGAGACCCCGTAGATCCATCATCTTCGCCAGCTGGGGGGCAGAGGAATTCGGGCTCATTGGCTCTACGGAATTCACAGAGGTGAGTAAGTCCCACAAAGGAATGGGTGGAAAGGGTCTTTGGATGTGGCCATGACAAACCGAGGTGTTCCCCCACCCTGTAGGAGTTCCTCAGCAAGCTGCAGGAGCGCACGGTGGCCTACATCAATGTGGATATCTCTGTGTTCGGTATGGGAGGCTCTGCCAGCTGTGAGTGGCCTGGAGCAGGAAGGAGCTAGGTCTGAACGGATCTCCTTGCTTCCTTCCACAGCCAATGCTACCCTCCGGGCACAGGGGACACCCCCTGTACAAAGCGTCATCTTCTCTGCCACCAAAGAGGTACAAGGGGTGATGGTGGATCTATGTGGGGTGGGCAGGACTGGAGCCCAGATCACAGTTAATCTGGGGATTGGGGTCTGGCAGAGTGGCTGGGCTTCCTGAGCCACCAGATGATTCTCTCTGTACCAGATCAGTGCACCAGGTCGCAGCGGCCTCAGTATCTATGACAACTGGATCCAATATACCAACCGCAGCAGTACAGTGTATGGCCTGGTCCCCAGGTGAGCCCAGAAACCAGAAAAGCAGGACCACAGGCCCAGCATGTCCACCCAGCACCCGCCAAACGCTATTCTCTTCCCTCCTCTAGTCTAGGTACACTGGGTGCAGGCAGCGACTACGCCTCATTCATCCACTTCCTGGGCATCTCTTCCATGGACCTGGCCTACACCTATGACCGGGTGAGCAGTCTTCAACGCCACTTCCCTCCCAGTACGGATGCATCAAACCTCAGGGGAAGGTTTGGTACAGACTGGCTCACGTCTGTTTCCTGTTTCTATGACTGACACGCCCTCCTGATCTAGACAATCCCTTAAAGAGTCTCTTCCCAGGTGATTCCGGATGGTGTCAAGTTGACCGTTAAAACTAGCTCATTAAGGGGCTTGGAGAGATGGCTCAGAGGTTAAGAGCCTTGCCTGCTCTACCAAAGGTCCTGAGTTCAATTCCCAGCAACCACATGGTGGCTCACAACCATCTGTACTGAGGTCTGGTGCCTTCTTCTGGCCTGCAGGCATACATGCAGACAGAATATTGCATACATAATAAATAAATAAATAAATAAATAAATAAATAAAATAAAAAAAACTAGTCATTAATACTGGTCAACACAGGTCAGCTGTCTTAGTTGGTTCCTATTGCTGTGAAGAGACACCATGGCCACAGCAATTCTTTTTTTTTTTTTTGGTTTTTCGAGACAGGGTTTCTCTGTGGCTTTGGAGCCCGTCCTGGAACTAGCTCTGTAGACCAGGCTTGTCTCGAACTCACAGAGATCCGCCTGCCTCTGCCTCCCTAGTGCACCACCATCGCCCGGCCACAGCAATTCTTATAAAGGAAAATATCTGATTGGGGTGGCTTACAGTTTCAGGGTCTAGTCTGTTGTCATCGAGGCAGGAAGCATGGTAGCACTCAGGCAGAGGTGGTGCTGGAGAAGGAGCTGAGAGTTCTGTCTTGATCTCCAGGCCACAGGAAGTGAACTGTGTCACTGTAGGTTGGGCATAGAAGACTCAAGGCCCACCCCCACAGTGACACACTTCCTTCAGTGAGGCTAAACCTATTCCAGCAAAGCCACACCTCCTAATAGCACCACTCTCTATATGAGCCTCCAACATCACACCGACTTTCTTGGGTTCTCTGAGCATGTTTCCACCCATCAGACTGCACTGATGCAGACATGCTCCATCTTCCTCATCTGCAAAGCCCTGCCGTGTCATGGTGTGTCCTACTCAGGAGGAAGAAAGCACAGCTGCCAGCTAGTTGTAGGATGGCAGTGACTAGCGGCACTGAGTTTAGAAAGCTTTCGTGAGTACTGGCACTACTCAGGTCATGTTAAGGAACTAAGGAATCCCGTTGTGGGGACTGCGGTGGAGGCTGCAGCGCCTCTGGCCTGCAGCTCGAGTGGATGCGCTAACGCCCTTTCTCCCCCTGGCTATGCGGCCTTTGGGTGGTGGAGCTGGGATCCCCATATCTGACTCACAGCCCCAAACTCCTCCTCGTTCCAATGTGGGTGCACCCCCAGCCTGGTCCCTCTTCCTTACTCCTCTAGAGCAAGACCTCAGCCAGGATCTACCCTACCTACCACACGGCTTTTGACACGTTTGAATACGTGAAGAAGTTTCTGGACCCTGGTGAGGAGGGGACCGGGACATTCTGAGGAAAGAAAGATGGGCTAAAGATGCAGTCCTAGCCTTGTGTCTCCTCCACAGATTTCAGCAGCCACCGAGCCGTGGGCCAGACTGCTGCGAGTGTGCTTCTTCGGCTCAGTGACAGCCTCTTCCTGCCCCTCCATGTCAGTGACTATAGTGAGACGCTGCACAGCTTCCTGAATGCTGCTCAGAGGGACCTCGGCACCCTACTGGAGCAGCACGGTATCAGCCTGGGTAAGCACACCCCGACACGGAAGTTCAGAGAACCCTCTATCCTCAGACAGGGCTAAACCGCACGTTCCTCATACAGATCCCCCGGTGACACAGAAGTTCAGGGAACCCTTTATCCTCAGACAGGGCTAAACCACACGTTCCCCACACAGATCCCCTGGTGACCGCAGTGAAGGAGTTTGAGACAGCAGCTGCGGCCTTGGTCAGGCGCATCTCAGCACTGCAGAACAGCAGCCCTGAGTGAGCATGAGCAGGGGGCACGTATCTGGGAGGGGGCATACGCACATAAAGCTAGCAGCTAGACTGCTGGCTTGCAGGGTGACCGACATGCCCTCCAGCCCCTTGCAGGTACGGATGGTCAACGATCAGCTAATGCTCTTGGAACGGGCGTTCCTGAACCCAAGGGCTTTCCCAGAGAATCCGTACTATAGGTGAGTCTGTGCCAAAGCTCCTGGGAGGTGGGGTGGAGCAGTGATCCCACCCAAAGAGGCTTCCTGCTTCACTCACAAACAATCCACTCACTGATGCTGAGATGAGGCCCTCCCTGCACTGCTTTTAGACAACAGGTGGGGGCTTTTATGATTGCCTGCTGATAGTGCAGAGTTCCAGGCCAACCCCACTGACCGTCAGCTCGCTGTTTCTCCTCAGTCACGTGCTCTGGGCACCCAACACAGCCTCTGCTGCCACATTCCCAGGCCTGGCCAACGCCTGTGCTAGGGCCCAGGACACCAACTCCGGATCTGAAGCGTGGGCTGAAGTACACAGGCAGCTTAGCATTGTAGTAATGGCACTGGAGGGAGCAGCAGCCACCCTGAAACCCGTGGAGGACCTCTGACCCTAGCCCTGTGTCTTGGGGCTCCTCGTATCTTGCACCTCTCACCTGTTTACCTAGGTTATGTCCCAGTCTTTGATGAGGTCAGGAGTAGCTACAACCAGGAAACACTCTCAAGCTTTTGGGGCAACAGCCGGGTTCTTGCAGTTAAACACACCTGCTCATGGTAGTGGGTGAAACTTGGGCCCAAAGCAGCGGGTAGAGGCCACTGCCTAACCTTTCCTTTTGCCCTGCTCTTCCATGTTCTATCTCCCCTCTCAACCCTCAAATAAAAGAAGTCTAAAAAGTTCGTGTAAAACGCCGTCCTTTTATTGTTTGGGAATCATGAAGAAGAGCCCCAGGTGCTCTGGTCCAATCCTTGGTGGAGATCCAACCCTCTCAGGCTGGAGGTCCAGATCTCTGCACGTCCCTGTCTTCCTCTGCCATGACCACCTCCTCCAGGGTGCACCCCTGCAGCTTGCTTCCCACTAATGTGTGGCAGGTACCAGGGGGTGGGAGTCCCTCCTCAGAGTAGCGCCCCCTCAGGAACACAACTCTGTCCTTATCTAAGGTCAGTCCATGGGCCCGACACAGATCCTCTGCTTCGTGGAGTCCATCCAGGGCCAGAAGGTGTACTATGAAGTCCAAAGGCAAGGTCTGTCCTTTAGGAGTGCTCAGGGCACGGGACAGGCGGGCCAGCGCTTTGCGGCGACAATAGCCAATGTGTCCCTGCACCGCGCAGCTCTGTAGGTAGGGCAAGGTGCGAAGCAGGCGAAACAGCCGGGCATGGTTGCCTTCACGGAAGGCAGCGTCAACAGCCAGGGCAGTTTGAAGGGGTCGGCAGGCACGAAGGGTGGCAGGCAGCTGTAGAACCTCCTGCAGGGCTTCCACAGAGCCTGAGAGCAAGAAGCAGAAAGGAACAAGAAGACTTAATATTTTCTAGATCAGGCCTACCTCACATCCCACCCTCCAGCTCGTTTCCAGATCTTGGTTCTGCCCACCTGTCAACTCCAGTCACGCCTCCTGGAGACGCTAACCCACTTCCTCTCTCCTCCCAACAGAGATGCAGCCACCTGACCCTTCTCTCAAAGAAGAGACCTCTTTCAGCTGCAATCCTTACAGAGGGCAAGTGGGCAGTGTTTTACATTCCAGATGGGGATACAGGCTGTCTTCAGGGTTCCTATTACTGAGACAAAACACCATGACCAATCGCAAGATGGGGAGGAGAGGGCTTATTTGGATTATACTTCCAAAACCTGTTCATCACTGAAGGAAAATCAGGGCAGGATCTTGCAGGCAGGAGCGGATGCAGAGGCCATGTAGTGATGCTCTTACTGGCCTGCTCAGTCCGCTTTCTTTTTTGTTTGTTTTTTTCTTCCCCCAGTATTTTGAAGCTGAAGATTACCTGTTTTTCAAGATAAGGCTTCTCTGTGTGTAGCCCTGGCTGTCCTGAAACTCTCTTTGTAGACCAGACCAGCCTCATACTCCCAGCAATCTACCTACCTCTGCCTCCCCGTGTGTGGTGGAAATTAAAAGTGTGGGCCCCTGGCCGCTCAGCTTGCTTTCTTATAGAACCCAGGACCTCCAGCCTAGGTAGGGCATCACCCACAATGAGCTGGGCCCTCCTGCATTGAATCACTAAATGAGAAAATGCCTTACAGCTGATCTCATGGAGCCATTTCCTCAACTGAGGCTGCTTCCTCTCTGATGACTCTAGCTGTGTCAAGTTGACACACAAAACCAGTCAGTGCAAGGGCCAAAATAAAGGCTTACTTGAGGCTGTCCTAGAGCTCAGGCTGATCCTGCTAGACCCAAACCTCAGTTTTCTGCCTTGGTTCTCCACTGTCTAGGCTGCAGTATCAAAAGGATTTTGAGTGCTGCTGTTACATTTCTCTATCTGGAAAGGTCTTTTTTTTTTTTAAGACGACTCTCTTCATTTCCAGGAACTCATGGCCACTGGTACCTTGGGCCACTTTTGTAAATTAGTTTAAGAGCCATCCTGGGGGCTGGAGAGATGGCTCAGAGGTTAATAGCATTGGCTGTTCTTCCAGAGGTCCTGAGTTCAATTCCCAGCAACCACATGGTGGCTCACAACCATCTGTAATGTCTGGTGCCCTCTCCTGGCCAGCAGGCATACACACAGACAGAACATTATATACATAATAAATATTAAAAGAAAAGTCACTGTGTGTGTATGATCCAAACATACTGGATTCACATATAAAAATCAAAGAATCTGCCTGCCTCTGAGTTGGGATTAAAGGCGCCTGCCACCAGGCCCATCGGATTTTCTTTTAATAAATAATTCATCCACAGAAAAGACTTTTAGCAACTTCTGTCAGATCCATTCATGAGTCAGCCCACTGAGTAGTTTTTATGTTTTCAAAGTGCTTTCTAGGCCAACTCTCTCATTACTAATCCACCTCCCTTCAGCTCTATCACGGAGAAAATAGCCCAATTTCGTCGGGACTCGCGGGCTCTTCCGACCTGACTTTCCCAAGGAGGAGCTATTGCTGAGTGATGCAAGCTGCCACGGTCCTAAGCTACACCTCGCTACTGATGCTAGAACTGCTTCTCCCCCCAAATCCTCGGATCCCCAACTCACCCAAATTGTAGAGCAGAAAGAGGCCCTGGAAGGTGGCCTGGCGGGGGTGCGGGGCGCCGCCCCTCGCGTAGCAGCGCCGCAGCGAGCCGAAGCCCTCCTGCACCTGCTTCTGCAGCAGCACCGGGTCCGCGGCTCCGCGCGCCTCTTCCGGCCGCAGCCGCGCCACCACGGCCAGCAGCGTGGCCAGCGCGGCCTCCAGCACCGCCGCCGCTTCCGCGTCGCCCACGCCCTGCAGCGACAGATCCAGCCGCACAGCGCGCAGGCGGTCGGCCACGAAGCCCACCACCTCCGCGCACGACGCGTCGGCGCGGCCGGCCACCTCGGCGGCCAGGTAGTGCACTGTGGCCAGGAGCACCGGGGGCGGCCGCAGCAGGCCGGGCGGGGGCCGGGGCTTGCCTGCCGCCGGCCGGCAGTATTCCTTCACGGCGCGCCGCGGGTCGGCTCGGGGCGCGCTCCCACGGCTTCCTGGCTCCACCTCCAGCCGGTGCAGGCGGTGCTCGCGCTCGCGTCGGACGCGCTCGGAGGCCGGGCACATGTCCGGGCACAGGCCCCTCGGCAGCTCGCAGCCAGACATGGCAGGGCTGTGGGGAGACGACGCACGCTCAGCATCTCGGGGCCGGCGGACGCGGGGCGCGGCATGCTGCCGTGGGCTCAGGGAACACGCGCCGGGCACAGAGGGGCTGGCCTGTCCCCGCTCATCCAGGTTTCCCGGGCCTGGCAGCGAACGAACTCTCCCGCTTCCGCAGGCTTCAGTAACGGCTCCCATAATCCACCGCGCCTGGCCGCCGCATTAACACCCCCCCTCCTTAAGTCGTCCCATGATGCACCAGTTTGTAGTCCAGTGATGAGGCCACACCTCCTCAGATCTGCAATTCAGTGAACTTTTGGGACTTGGGGCACTCGAAATAGGTAACCCTGCTTTGCGTATCTCTCCATTATCTCTTTAACACCCAAACTAGTGCCGTGGGCCTGTCAGTCTTTATTGTTTCCCTGGAGATAGCCTCGCTAAACTTTTTTTGTTTTGTTTGGAGACTGGGTCTCACTTTGTAGCCCTGGCTGACTGACTTTGATTGAACTCAGTAGAGATCTGCCTGCCCTTGCCTTCTGAGTACCAGGATTAAAGGCGTGGACCACAACACTCAGACATGATTTTCTAGACACAATTTACTCAACTCAGTTGGTACAATGTAAACTCAACCATAGACAGTATAAGCAAAGGGACCTGGGTATGTTGTGACTCGTTTTATTCACACATTTAAATTTTATAAATTGGTTAAAGAATCCTTTTCCTTCCAACCAACCATTAACAAAAAAAAAAAAAAAAAAAAAAAAAAAAAAAAAAAAAAAAAAAAAAAAAAAAAAAAAACCAAAACCAATAAAACAGAAACAAAAGGAAAAACCCTTGTAGCTTGACGGCCTTACAAAAAAAGGCAGTGGGCCAGGTCTGGCGCAGGCTGCAGACCCTGGCTCTAGGTGGGTGAACTGACAGATTTGTGGCCCAGATGCCACTCACATAAAGCAGAGACAGGCGGGACCGGAAGTTCAAGTCTGATTCCAAGGAGGCAGGCAGGTCAAAGCTGAGAAGTCTTTGCTTTTCTCATACTTGATCCAGTTAATACCGATAAGGTCCCTGGGTTACAAGAGCAGGGAAACAAGGCCGGGTCCCAAGGAAAGAAGAGAAGGCTGGCAGTGCTGGAGCTGACGTCCCAGAAAGGGTGCCCTCAAGGCAAGTGCGCTTGGAGAGTCTCCGCCCGCCTCAGGTACTCAGCTGCCTTCTTCTTCACACCTTCCCGGCGGGCAGGGGACGGGTCACCTGAGAGAGCAGAAGGCCCAGTTCCTTCAGAATGTACCTTCCCCTGCCCTGGCTCTTTCCCATTTTACGCGGCTGTTAAAAAGGGAAAGAAAATTCTGCCCAAGGTCTCTGTGAGAAATGAAGGCTCCTGGACCTTCTTTGTTTCCTTAAAATACTTTGTGTGAGGTCAGTGGTCAACCTCAGATGTAGGTCTCCTTCCATCTCTGTTCTCTGCTGCACACGCCAGGCTCACTAGCGCTGTTTGTCTTTGCCCGCCACCTTGTCATAGGAACACATGGTCCCTGAGCGTGCAGTCGCATGCCTCTGTGTGTGTTCTGGGCACTCTAATTCAGTCCCTCATGCTGGCGCGACAGGCACTCTGCCCACTGTGTCCCAACAGTACCCGTCTTCCTTACCGCCATACTCACCCGAGACGCCCTGGAGCAGGATGTGAACCCCGTCTTGGTAGTCTTGGAGCGCAGCGGCATAGGAGCCAGCCTTCTCTTTCCGCAGCGCTTGAGTGATGAGCTCTGTGGCCTGGCTCAGATAAGCTGGGGCAGGTTCTCCATCTTCAGCCTCTCCCCTCTCCTGTCCTCCTGGCTCCCAGGGTTCCTGGTCCAGACTTTTGGACTGTACCTCCATGGCTGCTAGCTCACTGGTGTGGGTGGGGCTGGTGCCTGTACTCTCTATAATAAAACAGGAAGGATTCAAGCCAGACTGGCCTTTCCCAGGGTCCAGCCCAAGCTTATTTTGTTCATTAGTTTACCAAACTGTCCCCACTGGAGGTGACCAGAGCCTGGAAATACAGAATTCACTTGAGTAGAGCAAACCAGTTGTGTTCTGTTTGCTTGGTCTGGCTGAGGAGCTTTTGGAAAGGCTGGTTTATCATTGCTGTTGCACACACGAGCAAGCGCAGGCATGAGTGTGCTGTGGCACCCGTGTAGAGGCCAGGGAACAAGTTTTGGGAGGGTTTTTTTTTTTCACCCTAGGTGGATTCTGGGGATGGAACTCAGGTTGCCAGGCTCATGAGACATGCTCTCAACCCGAGACTTACTGACCCATGGCCTTGAGCTTCTGGTCTTTCTGCCTCTGCCTGTCTAGTGCTGGGATCCAGCCATGTGCTACTTCAACTCTTTTGTTTGTTTTATTAAAGACAAGGTCTCACTATGTGGGCCTGGCTTTTCTGTAATTTGCTATGTAGACTCGGCTGATCTTGAGTTCACACATCTGCCTGTCTTTAACTCCCTGAATGCTGGGATCAAAGGTGTGTGCCGCCATAGCCAGCTTTTCCATTGAAAAAAAGTATTACATGGTGCTGGAGAGATGACTCAACAGTTAAGAGCACAGGCTGCTCTTCCAGAGGTCCTGAGTTCAATTCCCAGCAACCACATGGTGGCTCACAACCATCTATAATGGGATCTGATCTCTTCTGGCATAAAGTCAATAGAACACTCACATACCTAATAAATAAATGTAAAAAAAGAAATGTTTAAAGAAGGTATTACACTTATGTGTGTGTGTGTAGGTTGGAGGGCAACTTACTGGAATCTGTTCTGTCCTTTTACCATATGAGTCCAAGTCGTTAGGCTTGTTGGCTCGTACCTTTATCCACAAAGCCATTTTAAAGGCCCTTGTTTGAAATAAAAGCTGGGCGGTTGTGGCGCCTTTGATCCCAGCACTCAGGAGGCAGAGGCAGATGGATCTCTGAATTTGAAGCCAGCCTGGTCTACAGAGTGAGCTCCAGGACAGCCTGGTCTACAGAGTGAGCTCCGGGACAGCCTGGTCTACAGAGTGAGTCCCAGGCCAGCCTGGGCTACACAGAGAGACCTGTAAAGTGCACTAGACATTGAGTCCAGGACTCCATGCACGCCAGCCAAGCACTCTATCAGCTGAGCGCGTCCTAACACCCCGCTGTAGTCACAGCATGAAGTGGGTGAGTTTCAGGGTAAGGAAAGCTTCAGTGTCTCTTTGCTAGGATTTGGAGTAGGAGCTCAGTACCCTGACTCTGATGGTCCCCAGGTCACCATGGGAAATCTAGTGCCTACTGCCTTTCAGGACCTTACTGGGGCAAAGTCCCATTTTCTGTGTATTTAGTTTGCTTGTTGAGACTATGTAGCCCTCACTGACCTGAACTGTGATGTGGACCGTGCCAGCTTCGAATTCATAAAGATCCTCGTGCCTCTGCTTCTGTCTCTCGCATGCTGGGATTCAGGGCTTGTGCCACCACGGCCAGCCGCAGCGGGCCCATGAGCAAGGACACTATGATGCTGTGCTACCCAGGTTCTGCTCAGAGAGGAGGGCTCAGCTCTTTTCTCCACAGCTGCTCAATATTTTTCATGGCCATGGAGGCTGCCACCTGGCTTCAGGGAAACCATGCCAAGGGGCTTACAGAGATGGCATGTACTCCCTTCCTGCCCCTTAGCTTCTCACACCCCACACCTGCTCCTTACCCTCTTTGGAGTAAGGGTCGAAAAGGGCAAGTTCGGCGTCAGAGAGGGGACCTCGGGCTGGGGAGCTGGATGCTTCTTCAGTGCTGCCACAGCTGAAGAGAAGATCCAAGGCCTCCTGGGCAGGACTAGACGGCAGGGGATCCGCTGAGGAGAGACCAGGGGAACATTACAGCCTGCACCTACTGCTTCTCAGCTCTCAAAACAGAATCTCTGTCTTGAGTAATCCTTGTAGCAACCAAGGGTACAGACAAGGCCACTATTAGGTTTGGGTGTATTTGACAGATTAGCAAACCACAATTCAAAAAGAAAAATGACCTGTCCAGAGGTGTCCCCAGGAGAGAGGTAGAACTGCCCACCCTATACTTCTCCCTCATGGGGAGGACCTGATGTATACCTGGTACATCCAGCTCCTCCTGGCCCCTCCTTTCTGCAGGCAGTGGCTGGAGGAGCCGGGGCTCATCAGGAGGTGGTGTGGGGATGAGAGGGGGTGGCAGGATGCGCAGGTCCCTGGACACCTCAGAGGGCCGCGTTACCTCCCCACCCTGCAGGAGACAAAGTCCAGCAGGGGAGAAGAGTCAGGGGTGCAGCCAGGGAGGGAAGCGGAACAGGCAGGCGCTAGGGAAGTGGGAAGAGCAGATGGATTTACCCGGAAAAACTCCTTGAGCTGGGGGCTGTTGTTGAGTGCAGGGATGGGTACTGTGAAGCGCAGCAGGTCCTCTGCACCCTTGCGCCTCTCTTCAATCACAGAGGCTTCAAACCGCCCTGCAGATCCCGGACAAGAGAGCACCAGTGACCATGGGGCTCTGGGGAGAAGAAGCCCAGTGTCCTGGCTCTGCCTGGGAAGTACTAAGCAGCCTGCTGTGGACTCCCCATTCTCCCACTAATCTCGCTCCTCCTGCAGGCATCACCCTCCCTGTTCACTCTTTCTCCAGATGTGTAATGAGCACCTGCTTTCTGCTGGCTTCAGGTTAGCAAGAGAAACAAGTTCCCTGTTCTCAAGGGTATCATACCACAGACAAGGAGGCAAGGCATGCAAGTTTGTCTGTTTTTAAAGACAATGTCTCTTTAAATAGCTCTGGCTTCTGGCTAGCCTGGAACTTGCTATGCAGACCTTAAACTCAGAGATCTACCTACTGCTGCCTTCTGTGTGCTGGGATTAAAGGCATGTGCTATTATGCCTGGCAAGAAAGGCCTTTTGAGCCAGGTAGTGGTGGCGCACACCTTTAATCCAAGCACTCGGGAGGCAGAGACAGGTGAATCTCTGTGAGTTCGAGACCAGCCTGGTCTACAGAGCAAGTGCCAGGACAGGCTCCAGAGCTACAGAGAAGCCCAGTCTTTGAAAAACAAAAACAAGCAAAAAAAAAAAAAACAAAAAAAAACCAAAAATAGGTCATTTGAGGAGGCTTAGGTGTAATCAGGAGGAAAGAAAAGTTCAGAGAAGGGAGGCAACTTGCCTAAGGTCACAAAGCAAAAGGCTGTTTCACTGCTGGACATACTGACCACACACCTGTCAACCCTGTACTTGGGAGGCTGAGATGGGAGGACCATCAGAA